ATCGTGTTTTAGTCCTTGTCTTTTACTTCTATACTTTTGGTCTGAATTTCACCTCTTCTTCTTTTCTTCCCACATTTGCTGTTAAGTCCAAGCAATATTTACTTATGCAGTTTTGTTCTGGAGTTTATATGTCAGAGGGCTAAAAAGAAAAAAATGCTTCATAATACCAAGGTATAAATAATCCAAACAAATCTCTACATTTTCATACCTGCTTGTCAGTGAAAGAACCATGACAGTGATCTACCCCTTTATGGATCATAATACATAACTGGTAAGATATGTATAGCATAGTGGTTTGAGCTTTGGACTACAACTCTGGAGACCAGGGTTTGATTCCCTACTCAATCATGAAACCCACTGGATGACTTTGGGCCAGCAACATGCTCTCAGCCTCAGAGGAAAGCACTGCCAAACCTCCTCTGAACAAATCTTGCCAAGAAAAACCCATGATAGGTTCATCTTATGGTTGCTATATGAGAAATGACTTGAAGATACAGAACAACAAACAAACAACAAGATAGGCATAGGCCACATGTAGGACTACTGGTTCCATAATATCCCAGTTCTTGTTGGGGCGGGTATTCTGGGGTTTTAAATCCAAAACTGAACATTTCCAAGCTAGGATATATCACTTCATATATGTGATATCTTAGAGCTTGGAAATGATATATCACTGCATCATATATTAGAAGTGATATCTCAGAGCTTGGATATATTCAATTTTGTGACTACCCCCCCTCCAAATTCCCCCAAGAAGAGCTGGGATATTATGGGGCAATAGTCTGAAAAAGAAACTCTTCCAAACTGCATAATTTCTGCTTGCAGCATAACAGTTCTCCATGTTCAGTATTTGCAAGAAATCCCTTTCACTGCTACTGGCATTAATCTGACTGACTTCAAAATGCTTTCTAAAAGAAAAAAAAGAACACACTGAAAAAGTGCATGAATTGTTGTTGCTCACCTCCATCGTAAACCCAATCACTTTGAAGCACTGTTCAATTAATTCAAACTGGGATTTGTAGAAACTGTTGTTCATGAAATCTTGTACTGTTCTCAAATGTTCATTCTGTAGATACCTAGAGGGATTATGGTGTGCAAATGAGTGGGAGAGAGTTTTAATATGAAAATGTATTTTAAGGTCAATACAAGCCTTCATGCAACATTTTATATGGTTCACTCTAATACAGGAAGCCAATTCACGTATTTATCTGAAAGAAGATGTAGAAGGTAATAGAAGTGTACAGAAACACCAGAGGAAAGAAATACAAAAGAAAATGGACTGCATTATTTACCTGGGGGGCTTATTTTCTGGCAATTTATAATGAGCTAGTTTTTTCTTCTCTGCCAAGCCAGCATAGATGTAATAAAAAATATGAAAATTCTTCTCACCTCTAAAATTAAAAAAAGCAAACATAAACGACAGTAAGACAGCTTTCAAAATAAAACCAAAAAAAGAGCCCTGGTGGCGCAGTGGTTAAATGCCTATACCGTAAGGTTGCGAGTTCAATACCAGCCAGGGCTCAAGCTCGACTCAGGCTTGCATCTTTCCAGGGTCGCTAAAATGAGTACCCATCTTGTTAGGGGCAATTAGCTTACAGTTGTAAACTGCTTAGAGACTGCTTAGGTGGTATGAAGCGGTATATAAATGAAGCTGCTATTGCTAAGCTGCTGCTATTATCTGAAGGAGTGTTCTCACATATGATCCTGATTGTGTCTTAAGATCTGTAGGAGGTGATGGCTATTCTCCATCCCATCATCCTCACAGGTACATCTGGTGGGAACATAGGATAAGGTCTTTTGGTTGTTTTCGGGCTCTTGAACTCTCTCCCTAGGACAACTAGTAACCTCTCTGGTATCCTTCTTGAGGCAGGCAAAGGCATTTGTTCTATTTTGTTTTAACATGTCTTTGAGAACTAAACTGCTGGTGGAGAAAGGACTTTTAATAAGATATTGCATTGTCTGTATTTGCTTTTGTTGTTTTTCTGAGTTCTAAAAATGCCTTTAATTCTATTTATAAATTATATTTTATATGATGTGGAAATTTATCTGTATCCGTTTTAACTTTGCAAGCTGCCTTGATCCCCAGGGTTAGGAAAAACGTGGTATATAAACAAACACAAGTATGTGCATGAAACTGTATGGCCATTATCCCATGCAAAAGGATAACATTAATGATAAAAATACTATACATTTCTGATGTATTCATATTGCAATTTTAGTGGTCTTAAACCCTTGGGTTTAAGTCTCTCAGCCTCCGAGGAAGGCAATGGCAAACCTCATCTGAACAAATTTTGCCAAGATAGGCTTGTCTTAGGGTCACCATAAGTCGGAAATGACTTGAAAATACACAACAAACACATATGCTAAATCCAATTTCGTCCTCTGATGTAAGTTATATTACCTTTAGTCTTCATCTAAAACAATTTTTTATTTTAACTTTCCTCCCCTCCAGAAGTGTCACTCTTTATTCCCCTGTTACTTACACAGCTTGATGTATGACTCTAGACTTTTCTAGAAGATACTCTGAAATCAGAGCGCTTACAACAGTTCCACTGGAAGTGAATTTCATTTCTAAATATTTTCCAAATCTGCTGGAGTTATCGTTAATAATAGTGCCTGCATTTCCAAATGCCTCCAACAGATTATTGACTTGGAGAATCTTTTCCTGAAGAGTCCTGTTATTAGCCTGGATGTGTGTTTAAAAAGACAACAATACACAATACAGAGAACTTTGAAAAAAAAAAGCAGTTTCACAATATATCCCTGGTAAAGTATACTCAATCCAATATGAAATACTTTTATTGTTACCCTCCTTTTATTCAGTAATTACCATGACCCCTCTAAAATAATCAATGAATGGCAACAAAAATGGCCTAGTCCAAAAGTTAGGGTTTTTTTTTTTTGGTGAAAGGAATACTTAATTTGAGCCCCAGGGTAGTGTGTAATAGCAATGGACAAACTTTCCCATTACTTGAAATGGAAAGCAAAGTACTGCCCACTACAAGTGCTACAAGAGCATTATACTAGAGCAGAATTTGGCTGCAGTAGTGGTCAATCCCCCCTGTAGAAATTGAAGGTGGTTACATTAAGCCCTCACCCAGCTGAGAAAGAGTATGCCATAGCAGCACTCACCCACTGAAAAGGAAGAGGATGCTGTGGCACCTATGTCTACTGCTCCTGACAATGGCATTACCCCTGTCCAACTATCTGAAAGTGAGAAGGATGTAGTGGCAGCAAAAGTGCTCATGCTCCCACTCATGTGTAAAGGAAGAGGAGGCATCTTTGCAAGTCAAAAGGGAAGAGAAAGAGAAGTCAATGTGGTGTAGTGCTTTAAGTGTCGGAATACGTTTCTGGAAGACCAGGGGTCAAATCTTTGTTCAGCCATGGAAACTCAGTGGGTGACCTTGGCCAAATCACACCCTCTCTTGGCCTTAGAGAGAGGTAATGGCAAACCCACTCTGAATAAATCTTGTCAAGAGTTTGAGCAGGTTGTAATCAGTTAAAGTCAACTTTAAAGTGCATAACAACAAAGAGACAGAGGTGGCCATAGTCAGCAGAGGCAAAATTTGCCATTGACAGATCCATATCGCTGGTGACTGTCCAGATGAGGTGAATAGCACAGTTATTCCTGTGTGACAGTATGCTGCTTGGGGATTCATAAGCCTAAACCCATTTGTTAGTCCCAACTAGAGTAGAATCAATACGAACTTGGTAGGTCCAGTCTAAAGATACAAAAGACTGCTATGTAGCACTGGAGATGCCATGCCACATAAACCTTTGGGGATGACTAGAAACAGAAACATTGGAGGGGGGCAACCCAGTTTAGAATTTGTCTTACCCTTCCAAGGACAGTTAGCTGCTGGACCAGAAGATGGGCACTCTGGGTCTTTCCTGCTCCACTCTCTCCAGAAATGACAATACACTGAAGATAAGACCAAAAGACTACTTGTTATAACATCTTCCTGTACATCTAAAAGGAGTATCAAATCAGGCCTTGAAAGCCATTATTGTTACCTGATCTGAATTGTATGTGACCATGGACTGGTATGCAATATCAGCCACAGCAAAAATATGAGGAGGATTGGCAGTCCGTTTGGCCCCAATGTACAGTCTGGAATGCTAAAGGTAAGAGTAAAGAGTAAAACATTTATCTACTCCATTATGCAATGCTCCCTCATGCATCTCTACCAAGAATAAAAAGTCCTGTCAAAAGGTATAATTCCCTGGTTCTGAATATAAGCTTGTTTAACTCAAAATGCTTATATTAGAGGCAGGTAACAGGTTTGCATTTTAATGAAAATTTACCAAATTCACACTTTCCAAGCTCGAATTGAAGTAGAATGCATTTAGGCCTCAAATTACACATGAAATAAAAAATTCCCACAATGTGACACAAAACACAAAAATTAAATTAAGTCAATAAAAATGCATACTTTTGAAATAGTGTTTGCAAAAATGAGCAAATCTTGCAAAAATGCAGAAATGTGCTATATTCTAGAAAACATAAGTACAAAGTACATATATTTAAGAATGCAAAAACACACATATTTTGCAAAATGTCCAGAAAAAAAGTAGGTATAAATTTTAATGCAGACTAGAAAAAATAATTTCCAATCCAAAGTGAAATTTGACCCAACAAACCTAATGAGAATCTGAGTAATTTCAGACTTGACAAATGTGCATCCCCCTAGTTCAGATGTCATGTAAATCTTTAAGTTTTTGCATAATATAGAATTGGAAATGACATTTTGCATGTTTGCAATTGACTGACCTGTTTTTAATTTATGTCCTTCACATCAATCATAGCACAGTGTCTAATGGGATCAAAGTTTAAGGCTATGGGGACACATGAGGATGATCTGGAACCTAAAGGTGGGTGGGGGAAAAGATTTGCAACTCTAAGCTTGCCTAACCAAGTTCCACTAAATTTCTCAACCCAAACAGCCAACAGCAAAAGCAAAAGAATTTAATATCACATTGGCTCAAGTTAATGTAGTCATAATGTTTTTGAATGTAGCATAACATGAAATTGTTATGGTGCTCACACAATGTCATCTTCCAAAATTTGACGAACTGAAAGTATTATTTTCACACCTGTGTAGCATAAAGATCTAAGTTCCGAAAAGGATTGACTGCAATGAGAATGTCTCCCACGTAGGTGTAGATCTGATCCCTGGCATAGCTCTTCTGAAGTTGCTCAGTTACTGTATTCTGTTAAAAAAAGTGGGGGTTTGTGTGAGTGGAATGGGGAAGAAGCATTTATTTTGCATCTACTTTTGTTTTAAAATAATGTAGACTTTGAACAGAGACTACAAGTCAGAGCATTGAGGCATCTTAACTTCATAGAT